CCCAGCCTGGCTTCTAAGGCGTCTTGCCTGCAGCATGATCTCCTTGTGGCATGATCTCCCTGGGGTAGGACAAACTCTCCCCAGAGCCTTGCTTCCAAGGTGTGGCTGCTGCAGTGTGATCTCCCTGGGGCCTCTCCCGCCATCTTTCTCAAGGTAAAACCCAGGCCCCAGGACTTACCTCAGTTCTGGGTAGACATTCTCCAGATACCACTTAAAAGGCTTGCAGCTCAGCTTCTTCCTCAGCTCCAGTCTGCTCTGAATACTACACCAGGGAAACAAGACTCCTTTACACTCAGGAATGGATGGCCCCACACCAGACCCCAACATCAGCCAATGTGGCTGGGACAGGGCAAGAGGTACGGTTGGGACCACCTGGCTCCCCTACCCCAATGGGGCCTCATGGGCCCTGAACAGAGGCCCCACCGTCCATCTCCTCTGCCCTCATGAAATCTCTAGGTACTACTTACTTTCCATAGGGCACATTGCGTGCCGAAGGCACAGCTGCATAATAGAAGTTTTTATATTCATCCATCCAGACTTCTGCCGCCCTGCGGGTATTGCTGGAGACAAAGCAGATATTACTGAGGCAAACCACTTTGCCCAGCCCCATCCCCGAGCCCACCCACCGTGGAGCTGCGCTGCAGGGGCTCGGCAGGGACCACAGAGGCCACACTTTTCTGTCATTCAGAGCAGATTAGCAAAGAGTAGAAGCAATGTTGGAATTAAGTAGCACAGCAGGTGTTTTAGAGAAAAGCCTGGGCTGTGCCGTAAAGGACAAGACAGTGCAAGGTGCTCCTGTCTCCAGCCTTCTGTGGAGCCCTCCCCTGGGGCACATGCACAGGCACACCCAGAAGTGCCAGGATGCTCACTCTGTACTGCCAAAGAAAATACATCAGGGAGGCCACTGTCACCCTTTCCTTTGAAAGAAAGGTCTCTTAAATGCTAAGTCTGTCTGACTAAGCCATAATTACAACAAGTTATGTGTGAGGCCTCTGTCTTCCACAGGAAATAATGTACACACCTGTCTTCCTGAATGAAAGAACCACTGACTGCCATTTTACAGATTTATTGAAATATAGGTGGTATAAAAACACCACACTCAGACCCAGTGCTTCTTCTGGAACTTTATCTCAATAGCCAGGAATGAAAAGCATATGCTCATTTTAACACTATTTATGATGGCCAAAAAAATGGAGACTGAGGATGGTGGTACACTGCTACAAACTGAGGTACTTAGGAGGTAGAAACAAGGAGGACTGCAGTTTGAGGCAGGCAAAAAGTCATCAGCAAGACTCTCTCAAAATAAGCTGGGCATGGTGGCATTGGTCTGTAATCCCAAACTCTCAAGGAGGCAAGGAAGGCTGGCCTGGGCAAAAACACAGAACTTTATCTGAAAAACACCAATAAAAAAGGGCTGAGTTTGGGCTGGGAAGGTCGCTCAGTGGTAGAGTGCTTGCCTCGCATGCATGAGACCCTGGGTTCAATTCCTCAGCACCACATAAGCAGAAAAAGCCAAAGTGGCACTGTAGTTCAAGTGGTAGAGTGCTAGCCTTGAGCTGAAGAGCTGAGGGACAGCACTCAGGCCCAGAGTTCGGGCCCCACTATCAACAACAACAACACCAAAAAAGGGCTGAGGGCCTCAAATGGCAGAGCACCTTCTGGTAAGCACAAAACTCTGTGTTCAAATCCCAGTATTAAATAAATAATGACAGAAATAACAATAACAATGAGGAGGAGATGGAGAAGCTGTGGTATTTAATCTCAATGGCAGTTTGGACTGAGATGCCTTGGTTAGTGAGCAGCCCTTTAGGTGTGTTTGTGGGGTGTTTCTAGAGACCAGACCGAAAGGGGTCTACCCCACTCAGTAGATCAGTCCCTCGAGGGGTTCCAACAGGAGGCAGAGATGTGCCCTAAGTCAGTCTCTTGCCTGGTTCTTTCTCACATACCGTCCTGGCTCTTTGCTTCCCTTCTGCCCCAAGTACAGCTTTCTGCTCCACATTCCTGCTGCTGCCACAACGTTCTGCCTCACCAAGGGCCCAGAAATGTGGAGCTGAGTGACTATGGCCTGAACCCCAGGAAACCATGGGCCAAAGAACCTTCTATGCTGTTTCTGTCAGCTGTCTGGTCTCAGTGATGATAAAAGTAACTGACACAGAAACAAGGTAACCGGAGAGAGCAGCCTAGGTGTGGAATGTTGGCACTGAAGAGGCATGGACTTTCCTGGTGGGAAAAAAACATATCCAGGGCAAGACAGACCACTGTGGTTGGAAGGGAGACTGAAAAAACCTGCATAGATGCAACACAGTGCTTAGGTGTTGGGACACTAGGTGGAAAGGATTTCTCAGACAGCACCACACGTTTCTGGTGAGCCAACCAGGTAGGTCTTTGCTAAGTGATCTCTTGCCTGTGCTGAGGCAGTCTCCAACAAAGCCCCCCAGAGCCAGGTGCCGAAGCCCCCCTCAGAGAAACAGAGCCCCCCAGAGCCAGGTGCTAAAGCCCCCTTCAGGGAAACCAAAGAATCTGATTCTAAGACGTTCCTTTCGGCCCCAAAGGCTTAAAGGTTTGTTCTGTTTGTGCTGGTTCTGAGGACTGCACTCAGGGCCCCTAAGCTGTCCCTAAGCTTTTGTGTTCAAGGCCAGCACCCTACTACTTGAGCCACAGCTCCATTTCCAGGTTTTCAGTAGTTAATTGGAGATAAGAATCTCACAGATTGGGGCTGGGAAGGTGGCTCAGTGGTAGAGGGCTTGCCTTCCATGCTCGAGGCCCTGGGTTCGATTCCTCAGCACCACATAAGCAAAAAGAAAAAAGCCGAAAGTGGCGCTGTGGCTCAAGTGGTAGAGCGCTAGCCTTGAGCTGAAGAGCTGAGGGACAGTGCCCAGGCCCAGAGTTCAGGCCCCACGACCGGACCCCCCCCCCCAAAAAAAGAATCTCACAGATTGGGAGGAGGCTACAATGCTTGATAAGAAATGTACTCATTATCTTGCCCATGTAACTGTAACCCCTCTGTACAGTATTTTCACAATTAAAAAAAAAGAATCTCACAGATTGGGAGGAGGCTACAATGCTTGATAAGAAATGTACTCATTATCTTGCCCATGTAACTGTAACCCCTCTGTACAGTATTTTCACAATTAAAAAAAAAGAATCTCACAGATTGGTTTTGAACCATGATCCTCAGACCTCTGCCTCCTGAGTAGCTAGGATTACAGGTGTGAGCCACTGGTGCCTGGCTTAATGGTTTTATAAATCCTAATCACTGTGTTTTCTAGTCTCTTAAGTCCTTAGGAGATTAAGTCATTTAATTCCTAAGTAGAAAGATATCCTTTCTTGCCTAATTAACAGAATTATACCTAGGATTACTAGAACAAGCCTTGTGGTTTCTCTGACTCTTTAATTTGGATATTTGGTCCTCACCAAATTGTCTTTTAGTTGCCAGGGATCTACCTTTATCTAGGCACTCTTTGGTTCTGGGAGGATTTAGTATTAGACATTCCTGTACACCTAAAGTCACACCTGATGGGAATCAAGAACGTGGTGTGGAACAGCTTCATCTCTTCATCTCCTAGGGAGGCCTTCCCGAAGCCAGCCCTGCAGAGAGGTCAGTGGGGCATCTTCTGCAGGCCCATGCTGCCCAGACCCTTAAGCTGCAGCGCAGGTCCTCTCCAAATCGCCAGCACATGGTCTCTTGTGCCAGGAAAGGTAACTGAAATGCCTCTTACCTCACCCAGTGCTTTGTTAAAAGTCAGTACAGCAGCACCATGTCATCCCAATGAGCCCCACTGTCGGCTACTCAGTAGCGATGGCTTTGATTAAAATATGAATACATCTATATAAGAAGATTCTGAAAAGGGTACATGCTGCCCCGGGGAAGGGCACACCTGTAAGTGTCTGATCTTAAAAGGCCCATCCTAAAAGAGCATATTGTTCTTAATAAAGAACAAAAGTGATGTGCAAACCACACTTGTGGACGCATGCTTCCTGATAATTTGGTCAAAACTATGTGTCTTCTATGAAAGTTCCCGTAGAAATCAGGCCCTGCTTAAGTTTAAAAAATTTAACTTCTAGCTGGGTGCTGGTGGCTCACACCTGTAATCTTAGCTACTCAGGAGGCTGAGATCTGAGGATCATGGTTCAAAGCCAGCCCAGGCAAGAAAATCCATGAGACTCTTATTTCCAATAAACCATTAAGAAAACCGGAAGTGGTGCTGTGGCTCAAGTGGTAGAGCGCTTGCCTTGAGCTGAAGAGCTGAGGGACAGCACCCAAGCCGAGTTCAAGCCCCAGGACCGACAAAAAAATAAAATAAAATTCAACTTCTAGGACTAGTTTACTCACACCTGTAATCCTGGCTACACAGCCAACTACACTGTAAGATCTGATGCCTGCCCTGGGAAAAAACAAGAGACCTATCCAAAAAGTAACAAGAAAAAAAAAAAAGTTTGTGGTTCCTGGGTCTCGGGGCTGCGTGCTGTCTTTCAGGTCTGACCTCAAGCGCTGCTTCCTCACACACAGGTCCTTCCATCCGCCCCGGCCTGGAAACACCTCCTTTTGCCTGTCCAGGTCACTGGGGTAGTGGGTCTTCATGGTGTTGCATGGCTCGCGTTTTTGGTTTTTTCTTTGTCAGTACCAAGTTTGATTTCAAGGTCTCGTGTTTCCTCAGCTTGCTTGCTCAGCTGGTGCTCTACCATTTGAGCCACACCTCCAGCCCAGTATTTTGCGGGCTGTTTTGGAAATGTAGTTTTGCGGTTTATTTTGCAGCTGGAGTCTCATATGCATTCCTGTCTGAGCTGGCTTGGTTCACAATTCACCACAACTGTCAACTGCCTGAGGAGTTAGAGTACAGGTATGGGTTGGCTTAGCATCCAAGGAGACCTTACTTAGCTGTGCTTGCTCTCACAAGGAGGTGACCACCTTGAGGCCTAGCTTGGACAGATTTTGTCTCTGGCATCTGAGGAGCTCCCAGCAAACATCTGGTCTGATGGAAAGCTGACTTGTTCTGCCCTCATCTGGCACTTTGTTTTTATTAAAACATACCATGAGTCACACCCATGTGCCCCGATGTTTTTCTGGTGTGAATGTAGCACAGTTTGACTTTTACTGTGGTTGAACCTCTCTCTCCAAACCCCTGATGAAATGTAACTGCCACTGTTCTGGCACCAAAGGTAGGCCTGTTGAGCAATAGGAGGTCCATGGTGGCCATCTCCCACAGGGGTCAGGACTGCGGCCATGGGCCCCTTCTCCACGACAATGAGTGAGGTCAGCACCTGGACGCTGGGCTTCCAGGGCCAGAAGCCTGTCCTTCTGTAGGTCATGCCATCTGTGGCACCCTACACAGTAGCACACAGCAAACGCAGGCAGCTGGGGTTTAACTGTACTATGAACATTGATATGATTTTAAAAAATAAGAGTTCTTCTTTATAATTTTCTCCCTTAACTCTATGGGGTTTGTGCAACACACATGCAGGTTTGTGTGGCTATCATGGAATCCACCCCCTGCTTTGCTCCCAGCTGTCATCTCCCCCTCCATTCTGGGGCCATTACCTGCTTCCTCCCTGGCCAGTGCTGTTTCTAGACTGCCTTGGGCAGAGTGAAGGCAGCTTCTGCCCTCCCTCAGCAGAAAGACCCTGGGCCTAGGTCGCAGCCCTGACGCCAGGGCCATGGTTGTAAGAGCAGACTGTCTTCACACACCCCAGGGCATGCCTGCCTTTCACTGCTTACCGTGCGAAGACTGTGCCGCTGCCCCCAGGGAAGGTGTAGGGATGCTGCTTCCGGAACACGTGCCCTACGCGGCTACAGGGGATGATCTCCAGGCTGCCGCCACACTGCCACACTCGGAAGGAGATTTCTGAGACAGGAAGGAGACTTGGTGACCACTGGAGCCACAAGGCTGATCTGCCACGTGCGGATGCCCTCGCTGCCCACCATGCCCACGGCTGCTGAAAGAGAGCCCAGGAGTCCTGTTTTCTCCAGAACCTGTCAAAGCTTTCTACGTGAACACGCTGGAAGCAGCTCAGACGGGCTGACTCCAGAGTTCCAACAAGAGTCCTCTCTGGAGCCACAGTGTGCACCTGTTTTGTGTGCGCTGGCATGCCTCACGCCCTGGTGAGGCCTTATTGCTCATGGCAGTGCCTAGGGGCAGTCAGGAACCCCGGGAACAGGCAGGAGTGCTCTGAAGAGTTGAAGACTGGCTGTAGGAGTGACCGGAGGGCAGAGCCACACCACTGCACCACCATGGGCACCCCCAAGTACAACTCCAGGGACCTGGCATGTGCATGATGGATGCTGGTTGCCCTCAGCAAAGGTACTCTTCCAGGCACTTGTCCTAACTGTTGCTCATTCTGGATGAGGAGACTATGCTTAACCTTCTGGAAAAGCTACACTGTTTTTCCTGAAGGACACTGAGGTTTGGATAATAGCCCTTCCCTCTGGGTCACATGAGACCTCTCAGAACATTCTGGGGGCAACAAGAAAATCAGCAGTGGCTGGGAAGGTGGCTCAGTGGTAGAGTGCTTGCCTAGCATGCATAAAGTCCTGGGTTCAATTCCTCAGTACCACATACACAGAAAAAGCCGGAAGTAACACTGTGGCTCAAGTGTCAAGTGCTAGCTTTGAGCAAAAGAAGCTCAAGGATACTTTCTAGGCCCTGAGTTCAAAGCCACAGGACTGGCCAAAAAAAGAAAAAAGAAAAGAAAAAAAAGAAAATTAACGGTCTGCATACTACTATGTAGGTGTACTAGAAACAAACAGTTCCACAGATGATAAAAGTATATGGATGATCATCTGGCAAAGCAGCAGGACCGGAGTGCACAGGAAGAGCCATGGGCTCAGAAACACTTCTGCTTGGGTCTGGCTAAGTAAGGTCCTAGGAGAGCCTGCACTCAGGAGAGCCTGCCATGGATCTTAACCTTGTCCTCACAGTGACACAGTGCAGTCTGCATCAACTGAGCAAATGAGTTAAGGCTCTCAGTCCATCTGTGTGTCCTATGAAGCTCTGAGCAGCCAGTTCTGTATATTTCAGAAAGCAAAGATGAAATACATGTTTGCCTCACGCAAAGATGAAATACATGTTTGCCTCACTGGAAGACTAGACTGGCTTCTGTGTAGGGTCTATGGGCCTGGAGGGGTTATATGGATGTCTGAGGGAGGGGCTCAACCCTGACCTCTCCTGAGCAGATTCCGACCTGTGTGGCTCTTTAATTAGGGGGAGGGGGTTTGCATCTGAATCCTGCTCTTGGCTGTGGCCTCCGTGAAGTCCCTCTAAGGAGGCCCCCACCGCACACAGGTAGCATGCATACCAACACTTTGGGGATCTGCCCATAGAGACAGCACTGTCCCCATGGAGCCACCCCACCTCACTGGACCAAGAGGCAGGACCTTGAACTCTGCAGTGATTAACTTTTTATCAGGTGGACAGTGGGTTTTTTGCAGCAACCCCCATAGCCACCTCTCTTAGTGCACACCCACCAAACCCACATACCTACCAAACCCACACGGCCACCAAAGTCACACACCCACTGAAGCCATACAGCCATCAAAGTCACATGGCCACCAAAGCCACACGGCTAACAAATGCCAGCAGCAGCCAGCTGTGCGCCCTGCACCCAGAAGCAGGACCCAGGAGCCACACTTTGGAGAGAGCATGATTCACTTACAGATCTTCTGTTCTAAATGCCTGCTGCTTGGCCTCTGCCTAGCTCATCCCATAGCACCAGCTGGGAGAAAAAGGCACCAGACCCCCTGGTAAAGGAGCTGTTCCTACCAGGATCTGGCCTTCCTTGGCCCCTTAGGCCCTTATGTAAGGAATGTAAAAGCCAAAATAATAGCAAGCCAGTCCATTAAAATGAGTTCTATCTTCTCGGGGCCTGTAGACAAAGTCTTAGAAATATCACTGTACAGTGTGACACAGTGCTGGCTCCCCCCTCATCACCAGCTGCTTCTAGAACTACCCCCACTCCTGTGATGTGGCTAACGGAGTTCCCAGACAGGGCCCCACAGGTGGACCTGACCACAGGATCCTGGGGCGTGATGTGGCTCTGGGGTCTCAGGTTAAAACACCCAAGAAGAGACTGACTCATGGTCCTTGCTTCCCTCACACAGGGCCTGAGCTGAAAGTTGCTTTCAACATCAAACCAAGTTGGAGGCGTCCTCAGAGAGGTAATGTCTGCCACCCTCAACATCAAAAACCACAGAGGAATGATCAGGCTAGATTACTCCATTCTTTTAAGCTAACAGATACTATCAAAGTTTCTGTCACAAGTAAAACTACTCAGATGGCAGCAGTGTCACCTTCTCTCCCTCTCTCTGCCCCCTTTCTGTCCCAGAGAACACTCACCCAAGGACAAAAGAAACTCCATATTCGGTAACCAGGAGCAACTATCTCACAACTGCAACCACTTGGAAGCAAAGGCTTCAAATAAAGCCAGCAAGAAAAGCAAACAACAAAGTAAGCAAACACCAGATTTTTCGTCTTTTATGCAGGAAATATGAGGCAGACACCTTCATAGACTACAGCCCACTGAGGTTTTTTTGTTTTGTTTTGTTTTTTTGTCAGTCATAGGCCTGAATTCTGGTCCTGGGTGGGTCTGGGTGCTGTCCCTCAGCTCTTTAACTCAAGGCTAGCGCTCTACCACTTCTGGTTTTTCTGAGGAATGGAACCCAGGGCCTCATGCATGTGAGACAAGTGCTCTACCACTGAACCACCTTCCTAGCCCCCAGCCTACTGAATTTTGTTGTCTCTACTCCTGGGTAAAAATCTGCATGGGCCATTAAAATATTGTAACTATTCACAGAAGTACTCGAAAAGTCAGGTACCAAATTACGGGGCCCGTCCACGTGTCATCCACAAATAGGAGTCCACTAACACCCCAGCTGCCACAGTCCGGCTCCCCTCCACATGCTCATTCACGGCTCACACACCGCTCCCAGCCCAGCTTTCCTCCACATGCTCACACACAGCTCATTGCCTGTCTCCCTCCACACGCTCACACACGGCTCCCCTCCACACGCTCACACACGGCTCCCCTCCACACGCTCACACACGGCTCCCCTCCACACGCTCACACACGGCTCCCCTCCACACGCTCATACACGGCTCCCCTCCACACGCTCACACACGGCTCCCCTCCACACGCTCACACACGGCTCCCTTCCACATGCTCACACACGGCTCCCTCCACATGCTCACACGCTCACACACAGCTCCCTCCACACGCTCACACATGGCTCCCTTCCACATGCTCACACACGGCTCCCTCCACATGCTCACACGCTCACACACAGCTCACAGCTTGGCTCCCTCCACACGCTCACACACGGCTCCCCTCCACGCGCTCACACACGGCTCCCCTCCACGCGCTCACACACGGCTCCCCTCCACACGCACACACACGGCTCCCTCCACACGCTCACACACGGTTCACAGCTTGGCTCCCTCCACACGCTCACACACGGCTCACAGCTTGGCTCCCTCCACACGCTCACACACGGCTCACAGCTTGGCTCCCTCCACACGCTCACACATGGCTCACAGCTTGGCTCCCTCCACACGCTCACACACGGCTCACAGCCTGACTCCCTCCACATGCTCACACACGGCTCCCTCTACACGCTCACACACGGCTCCCTCCACCTGCTCACATGCTCACACACAGCTCACAGCCCTGTTCCCATCCACATGCTCACACACAGCTCACTGCCCGGCTTCCCTCCACATGGCTCATCAAGCTGGGACCCGGGCTCTTTCCCTCCATTTCTGAATATGAGCATTCCAAAGCCCCTGGTCAAACCACATGGCAGATTTTGGCTTCTGACTCAGTTTACCTGAGTCCTCGCCTCCATCCAATGTGGGGCAGCATCTTATTATCTACCCGTGGGACACATGGCAGGGGCCAGCTCTGCCCACTGAAGGGCCACTCTGGAACCTTCTCAAATGCTTTGCAATCAGCACTCTGTCTGCATTCCATAGATGTTACCCAGTGGGTAGGGTTCTTGATCTTGAGGTGTGGATTCATACATACCCAAGTTCTCTCCTCCCCATACGTCCATCATCATGTCGTATTTCCCCAGTTCTTCAAAATAGAACTTATCCATCACAAACAACCCGCCAGCAATCATTGGAGTTCTGAAGAGGCAAAGAGGAGAGAAGATGAGGGTTAGTGGGCCAGTACCGTCCACAAAAGCCAGGCCTGGTCTCCTGACTTCAAGCTGACTTTCATTCTCCACTGCTGACTTCAGATACCTCCTCAAGACCCTGCCTGTGGTCTCACAGGACAGGGCTGGACTAAGCTTTCTCTACAACAAGTTGATTACAGGGGCTGGGACACTGGATGGCCAGCTGCCCCTGGCAAGATACTAAACCTTTCTATGCCTCCTTACAGGTGATGAAGATTATAAAAAATAATATGCAATCCTAGGTCCCTGACATCAGCTGGAAGCCCCATCACAATATGAAAGATGTTCTATATCATAAACTACCAGAGTTACATGGTGAGCCTGACACTATCTCTGAGGAAAGGGAAGACCTTAGAGTGTGACCTGGTGACAAGCTCTCACCTTGAGCTAGGTCCAGGAAAAAGATCAGGATGGGGAGAACCCACAGTGCCAAGGCATCTAGGGTCTGCAGGGGCCAGAACACTCAGACCAGAGACGAGGCTCTCCCCATGAGGGCCACCCCATGAACACTGACCAGAGATGAGGCTCTTCCTGTGAGGGCCACCCTGTGAACACCAACCAGAGACGAGGCTCTCCCCATGAGGGCCACCCCATGAACACTGACCAGAGATGAGGCTCTCCCTGTGAGGGCCACCCTGTGCACACTGACCAGAGACGAGGCCCTCTCCATGAACACTGACCAGAGACGAGGCTCTCCCCATGCACACTAACCAGAGACGAGGCTCTCCCCGTGCACACTGACCAGAGGCCAGGTTCCCTACTGCAATCCAGAGACCAGCGTCTGCCCAAGCTGGTACTTACTTTATGGGAGCAACAGGGTTCCCCTGGCGAGCCCTCCTCTGCTCAGGTGTCATATAATCCCACTTGAACACCAAGTTCCACTCAAAACCTGCCAGTCAGAAGAGATGTGTGCTGAGAAAACACTCACCCTTTGATCCTGGTTTGACATTTGTACACAACTCCCAGAACCAAGTAAACGAAGACACAGAGTGGGGAGTATGTGATGGTGTGGGCTGGGGGTGGGGGTAGGGCACACTGAAACCTTCCCCAACCTCCCAAGGAAAGGTGGGCCTGGCTCTTCTAACACTACAATAGGCAAGTGAAGTGTGAAGTAGGGGGACAGGGGAACGTGTGAAGTGTGAGGATGGGGGATGTGTGTAAGACCATTGCACAGAGAAGATATTCAAGATGAGAGAGGAATGGCCTAGACTTGCTGCGGGCCTCCACTATGGCCCCGTGGCTGGGAAGCTTGGAGGGGACACTCATCGTCTTTTCCCTAGCCTGCAAACTCCCTCTCCTTGTATCTTTTTATCGCAACCAAAACTGTACTTCAGGGCAAGGGTGGAGTGGGAGAGTGAAAGCTCTTAAAAGAAAAATGTGTCAGAGGAAGCTGCAAACTGGGCCAGGAGCTTGGTTTTCCATCAGTCTGGCGCATCCACCTTCCCTCTTAGAACCCACAGGGGTGGCAGAGCCTAGGCCTTACCCTGGACAGGGTTCCAGATGCTGAGGCCCCAGGCTCCGTGGCTGGGCCTTGCTCTTGTCTACAAGGCATCCACACTCCTTGGAACCAAAGCCACTGCTGGCAAAAGCAGGCTGTGGCTGAGGGCCTGACTCCAGACCTAGTCTCCAGGGGCCACCTCTGGCCTTATAGCTCACTACTTTCTAAGCCCTTTGCCCTCAGGATTTTTGTTCAAGGGCACTAGAAGTACTCAGATCATCTGGATTCAGGGTTTGTCTGCTATTACCCTCAGGTGCTCACTGGGTATCCCTGGGCCCGCTCACCCGGTATCCATGGGCCTGCTCACCCAGTGTCCCTGGGCTCACCCAATGAGTGTCCCTGTACCCACTCAGTGAGTGTCCCTGGGCCTGCTCAGTGAGTGTCACTGGGCCCACTCACTGAGTGTCTGGGCCAGCTCACCACATGTCCCTGTGTCAGTTCACCAAGTGTCTAGGCCCACTCACTGAGTGTCCTTGGACTCCCTGGGCCTGCTCACTCAGTGTCCCAGGATCCTACAGGGCGCTGCCTGTGAGGGTCTAGAGCTTCTCCAGTGAAAACCCTCAGTGCAGAGCTTCTCATCAGCTCTCACCAGCAAAGACAGCTCAGTGCCCCATGTCACATGCTCACAGTAGTGATGAGTTTGAAGACAAAAAGGGTGGAGCCAGGGCCCACTGTCCAGAAGGCAGGCCAGCTCCCAGGGTCAGTTATGGTGTGTGTAACCCTCACTGAAGGCCAGCTCCCGGGGTCAGCTGTGGTGTGTGTGGAGTTCTCACCGCAGGCCAGCTCCCGGGGTCAGCTGTGGTGTGTGTACAAAGCTCTCACTGTAGGCCAGCTCCTGGGGTCAGCTGTGGTGTGTGTACAAAACCCTCACTGTAGGCTAGCTCCTGGGGTCAGCTGTGGTGTGTGTACAAAGCCCTCACTGCAGGGCCAGCTTCTGGGGTCAGCTGTGGTGTGTGGAGTCCTCACTGCAGGCCAGCTCCCAGGGTCAGCTGTGGTGTGTGTAACCCTCACTGCAGGGCCAGCTCCCAGGGTCAGCTGTGGTGTGTGTAACCCTCACTGCAGGGCCAGCTCCCAGGGTCAGCTGTGGTATGTGGAGCTGTGGGCATGTGAGCACTCACTGAAGTAATGACAGTTCTACAACAGTGGGACCAGTGATGAACTGGTAGGAGATGATGACTGATACCTACCACCCTTGAGGTCAGCAGAGGCACCCACGTACTGGAAGTTGTCCATGTTAATGACATCGATGATGGGAGACACCACACGGGTCCTGTCCTGAGCATGGGTAGAATAAGAGTGGTTATCACAAGCCCAGCAGAACAGCATCCTGTTCCCTGAGGAGCTCCCCCACGCCCAGGAGCTCCCACCCCCCAGGAGCTCTCTCCTGGAGGAGCACTCCCTAAATGTCCCCGCCCCACTGGGACATTGCTGTTGTGGAATGAATGACAGGGGACAGCAGAACCTGGGATATCTGCCACTTGTCTACTTAGAAAGGACAGAGTTCACAGGCCTTGTATCAAGTCCAAAATCACCTCAGGCCATTTTTGTCCTGAGCTGGGCTGGCTGAATGTCAGCTGCAGGAAGACTTGGGAGTGGACTAAATCTTTCTCCTAGTTCACGAAGTACGAGTGCGTGATGTGGGCTATCAATACGATCCTCACAGAAGGCAAACTGAGGCTGTAGAGGCTAAGCTTGCCTTAACTGTGGCTCTACCAAGAAATGTTCTCCTAGGTGCAGCCATTCTTTAGGCCACACTGACATGCTCTGGCAGGGGCCTGACAGACCTTTCCTTTCTGATCTATAAACTACCGCACTGCCTACAATGACAGTTAAACAAGAGAGGGTGTTCCTAGCCACTTCAAGAACCCTTGTTAGTGGAAGAAAGGCCCAGAAGAACAACTCAACCACTGAGCCAGCAGAGATGTTTATGATGTTCCAACACCACCCACAAGCAGATTTGCGGGAAAATAAGCAGAGAAGACCTTGCCTGGGTCAGCCTGGCCTTGGCACAGAAATCAGAGAATATCCTTCTTTGCATTTCTTCCACAAGATGGAATGACCGAGTGGCTCAACTAGCAGGCTGGTTCCTCAGCTGGGAGGGGTGTGTCTGGCTTTGGCTGCAAGCCGGTGGTCTGTGCTTTTAACACTGTGGCAGGATGGACCTGGCTCCACGTTCCAGGAGACAGCCTGGAGAGCAAGATGTGGTGGGCTGGGAATCAGGTCCCATCTCTGCCACAGGGATGTGTGTGCTGGAGGTGCATTAGAGCCTCAGCAGAACACAGCTGGCAATCCTGCCACCCGCATGGTCCCAGGCACAGCCAGGCTCCCTGAAGCACAGCACCTGTACCTGTCAATCACCTGCAACAGAGCGACTGTAAAAGGAACACCTAGTGTGTTGGCTGAGTCCAGCACAGGCTGTAAAGATGATATTCATCATCATAAGTAGCCTTTGGGCATTTGGTATCTCATGACTCGCTGCCCATCAGCCATCCTCACTGTGCTGCAGGGAAAACTGTCCTATTCCTTTTCTGCTTCCTTTCATTAACTTTGCTTTACGCCTCCCTAAGGAAGCACTTTCACAGCAGGAAGTCAATAAGATGAGCAGGAGGCAAGAGATATAACCCAGAGCCAAATGTGACATCAGCGATGATGCTTCTGTAAGGGAGAAGGTACCACAGAGTGCGTGACGCCATATCACCACTGACAGCCCCAGGCGGGCACTGTGGCAACCACTGCCTGCTCCTGCCCATGAGCCTGGCTAAGCAGAGGGGCACCTTGGCCACCTTCCAGACACCTATCAGATGGCACCCTAGGTATTCCACACTAGCCCTGTGACTTCCAGGCTCCAGAGCCAACTGCCAGCTGCAGGTCAGGGTGGATTGTGCCTGCAGGTAACAGGCATCTAGAACAGTATCTCGAGCCACACAGGGCCTGTCTCCTGCCTGTCACATGACTGGCCCTTTTGCCCTTCGAAATGGGGCACTGATGGGCCATCCCAGGGCCGACACACAATTGGAAATCCTGCAGCCAGCACAGGACTGCACAAGGTCGGCCCCGTCTCTACCTGCTCCAGCTGTCCCGTCTGCCCTGCCCCACTGTGCCCTGGCCTCACCTCCGCCACCCGCTCCAGCAGCGGCTCCAACCAGTGCTCATTACACTCGCAGTGGCTGTCCAGGAAGGTCAGGACTTTGGCTTGTGCAGCGTCGGCACCCCGCACTCGTGAGCGCATCAGGCCTGCGGGGAGTTGGAAACACATCAGGGGAGAAGGCCCGGACAAAAGTAGCACTACCCACCCGCTGCCCAGGCAGGCTCCTCCCCAGGCTTTGGAACCAGGAAACTGTCCTAAGATTGCTGCGTTCTGAGAAAGGCTTTCCTTGCCACCCGAGTCTCCTGTGTCACATCCTCCAAGTGTGGACTCTTGGCACCACTTTCCTCTGGCCCAGCTACAGCTCCCTGTCTCTCTGGATGAGGAGTTGCCCCTTGCCTCTCCGCACCAGTTCTGGTAGCCATAGCACCATGAAAGAGCTGCAAATAGCCTTTGTCTTCTCTGGCTTACCGCAAGCCAGATCAACCCAAAACCCATCACCTGGGTTCCACATAGGCCTAGTGACACTCGCCCAAATCTACAATGATACACCTGTGATGTGTTAGTAATGTGCATCTTCATTGAAAACAGTTTTATCCCTGGATGCTGGGGTCATGGGCAGAACTTATTAGAAACATTGGGCTTCACATTTGGAAAGACAGTATCACTCACAACCAGTGAGGACAAGTGTGTAAGTTCCTTTTCTCACTGTCAAAATGGACTTTTCAGGACTCTTAGATAGCTGATGCTAGGACAGGAAAAAGAGATTTACAGTTTCATGTTGGAAAAGAGCCAAAGATGTACAGTTTCACGTTGAAAAAACAAACAAACCCTTGCTCTGAAATGATTCTAATGCAGAGCTACATATAAGAGGGAACTCTCTGAAAGGGCTAGAAAAAAAGCCAAAGGGAAGAAATGTGTGAAAGGGACCGACAAGGGCAAGGAGCCAGGCTGCAGTCCCGAGTCAGGGCATGCCTCCCGGGGTACTCCCAGGGTCAACATTCCACAGCATCTCTATGACCTATGACCTTCAAGGTATCAGAGGGTAGAATAGACTTCAGAGGGGCTGGGAACCTCAAGAGCTGATCTTGGCAGCAAGAAAGTCCCAAATATGGGACCTTCTCTCAATTTCTTGGCCCACTCATGGAAAAACATGGGTTGGGAACTGAATATTCACCAGTTTATCTCTTTCAGTGGGTACAACGTGAGGTTAAAGGTTTGGGAAACACAGCAGCTCTTCTGTAGAACTCTATAAGGATCACATCAGGGAATAACAACCATCTCAGCAATAAAGAATCCACCAAAGATGTACTGGTCCCAGCAAAGAGTAAAGACAAGCATTATACAAGGTGCAAATACAAAGTCATCAGTGGTATTGTGTCTTCAGGTGTTAAGGCTTAGTCCCTAGCTGGTGAGGCTGAGGGATTACTGGATCATGACAGCACTGGCATCACCAGTGGATGAGCCCACTCACTGTAATGACCCATCCCTGGACATATCACCTGATGGCATTGCTGGGGGTTAGAAGCTAGCAGGTAGGCCAGGTTGGAGGAAATAGATCATGGGGGTTCCCTGGTAGGGTGCATCTTGTCTTCAGTCCCTGCCCGCCACCAGCTGCAACAACAGGCCTCAGACCAACGCAGGAGAACCAGATGTGGTGAGCTAAGATGAAACTTGCCTCTGTTAGGTTGCTTTTCTCAGGTACTTTGTCATAGTAATGAAAAACTGACACAGCCAATTAACTTAATTGTCCAGTATGCCAAAGATTATTAGGGAAATAGACCATGATCTGGTTTATCGACAACATACCCATAATGGCTGTTACATGACAAAAATCCATAGTATCAGAAGAAACAGAAACCTAAGCAGAAAAAAACTCCATAGAATGTCACCCTGAGATGACTTAGATGCTGGAATGAGCAGATATAAGATTTTTTTTTTTTTTTTTTGGATCCGGTTGTGGGGCCTAAACTCTGGGCCTGAGCGCTGTCCCTCAGCTCTTCAGCTCAAGGCTAGTGCTCTACCATTTGAACCACAGCACCACTTCTGGCTTTTTTTCTTTTTGCTTATGTAGTGCTGAGGAATCGAACCCAGGGCCTCAGGCATGCAAGGCAAGCGCTTTATCACTGAGCCACCTTCCCAGCCCCCAGATATAAGATTTTTAACATGGTTAATAAAACTGTAGTTAAGAACTACAAGAGGATACTTGTTTTATCAAGTGAACAGATAGAAAAGTCTCACGAGAAAAGCAATGGGGTTCTTTTGAAACTTTAATAAAATAGTCTTAGCAGCAGAAATGACCGGTGAACTTAAGGATGAACCAATTAAACACAGATCTACCTGGTGAGCTCAGAGAAAACTTGTTAGCAGGCAGGGGAGAGTAACCCAAGGATGACCACATTGTGGTGGAAGGGGGGGCGGGTGGATCTAGACACCAGAATGGTGTATTTTTAAATGGCCGTGGGAAAAATTAATGGCCAACTTAGAATTCTAGTCAGAAAAAAACATAGATTCTTCAGATAAACAAAAGCTGAGAGACTTCTGTGCTTACAAGGGTGAATCCTGCAGTAGTCTGTGGGATGATAACATGGAAAGAAAACTTGGATATATAGGAAGAAACAAGATACTAAAAATGCAGAACAGCAGGGTAAGTCTACCAGTCCATGTTCTGAGTTTAAGAGAGAATATTATTTGAAGCAGAATTTTAGTATGCATTGTGGGGCTTAAGACATGCAGATGAAAGTGGCAGCCATGGTGCAGGGAGGAGGGGATGGAGCTGCTGGGTTTTCATCAAGGGGTGGCCACAGTGACTCCAAGACCACAGTCTCCAACTGATGCTGTGGGTGTCGTCCTGAGAGCAACAGCTCTCTCTGTTGTCTGGGAGCAGATATGCACACATGTGTGCGCATGTGCGCACACACACACGTGCCCATGGCATCATGCATCTGTGTGCTAGAGCAAGCACTTGCCACTCCATGCACATTCACAAGGATCTGGTTTTTGATGCCTCACTCCTCCCATACCCAGCACACATATACAGGCCCTTACCTACGTGAACACCTCCTTAAAGCCAGGAGAAGGTTGCTTAGGTGCCTTGTTCTGAGCTCCACACAGGTTACAGGCACTCTGATAAGCTAACAAACGACTTCACAGCTATAAACTGCAAAGGCTAAATGATGTTTTCTGCTTTCATCTTCCCTCTTCTAGCTGCTTTTTTGTTTTTTAAGTCTAAAACATCCTTTTCCTTTTTTAGGTATGTGTGGAGTAAGACATTCTGAGTTTAAGTTTATAGTCAGTTGGTAGGTTATTTATTTATTTTGTCAGTCATGGGGCTTGAACTCAGCCTGGGCGCTGGCCCTCAGCAATTCAGCTCAAGGCAAGCACTCTACCACTTGAGCCACAGTGCCACTTTCAGTTTTCTGAGTGGTTTATTGGAGATAAGAGTCTCACAGACTTTCTTGACAGGCTGGCTTTGAACCATGATCCTCAGATCTCATCCTCCTGAGTAGCTAGGATTACAGGTGTGAGCTCCAGCGCCCGGCAGATTATTGTTTAGGGGAAGAAATAATATAGACTGCAGGCTTCTGATTTCCTGTAGGCTTAGGGCTGCTTGAGTCCAGCAGCCAAGCTGCTCAGAGTGAGCATGAGCTAACTGTCTACGTGTCAGGACATTTGCGTTGATGATCTGGTTAGCACAGAGTTCAAGGGGGAGCTGCTCTATCAGGCCTGGCCATTGCTCCAACTAGATTCCTGCTAGGAACACCTTCCTTCCTCAACCCTGGTGGGACCGCCAGGGAACCAGAAGACAGAGGGGTGTAAGCACCAATGCAGGGGCACAGCACACTTTGCCTGGTGTGCCAAGATACCACAGTGCTGTGACTTCCAGAATATGAAAGGGGCAGAGCTCCCTAACTGTCTGATGCCCAACTGTGAGTGACATGTGGGATGGAGCCTCCAGACCCCGCAGCAGGGCGCATCCCCAGGAGTCTCCCCTGAAGCCTGTCAGTGGCTGGCACAGTAACAGTGCTCTCTGTGTTCCAGTGCTCTCCTTCAGCAGGCTGTCAAACCTGAGCCTGTCATTTTAACAGTTGCCTAGAGCAAGAAGTCACTAAACTTTTCTTGGATAAATCTTTGTTCCTTCTATAAACTCTCCAGTCAAGGGACTGATGGGATTTCCTAGGTTGTGAACAATAGAAGCTAATTTTCTAAATATATTAATAGACAAGTGACTTGAATACTTGCCCCAGTATGCAAACAATTCTAATTATTTAAGCTTTTATTGTTCTTTCTGTGTCTGCTGAGATGGAGCTCCGAAGCAGCTCTGGCAGAGGTAGACAGACAGACAGACAGACAGACAGACACACACACACACACACACACACACAGACAGACAGACAGACAGACAGACAGACAGACAGACAGACAGACAGACAGACAGACAGACAAGATGACTAACTACAGTTCTCCATGTCACCCCTGGGTCAGGAGAAGGCATGCAAGAAACGAAGTTCTCTGAAGCCATGCCTATGCTGAAAATCCTACAGCCTTCCTGCCTGCCTGCACATCATGCTCACGGAGAGAGGCAACACTGAAGATCTAGAACCCGCTGTCTCAGGCTACTTTTAGTCCCTGTAGCACTTTTTAACACCAACTTCTATGACTTGACATCTACGTGGAATGTGCTGTCACACTAGGCAGAGCACTAGCTCCCACCAGCTCTAACGTGAAGAATGTCAGCACATCTGAAGCCAACAGAAGAAACTTCCCACTCCGTGGTGTTCTGGTGTGCACGCCAATTTATAAATGCTCTAGCAAATGTCTTTAAAGACACACTTATTTACTGCTTTCCGCTGCTCTTCAAGCATCTAGGTTCATGTAAACTCTCCCATGGTGACATGTGTCATTTAGGGCAACCTGAATCCATGTCCTGGTCCAGGGTCACTTATGTTAGGCTCAGAGGCTCTGCTATCTCACTGTGTCTTAAGAGAAAGTCCTTCCAAAAATATAAATAAAGAGGCCTTTCTTACCTTCTCGCCGATCATTTCTAAGGACCCGAACTTTCTCTATTTTCCCCAGGAGAGCACCGTCGTCAGCTAGGAAGAGAACAGAAGTGCAGCATGGTGACTGCGGGGTTTCTTAGGCCTCCATGATAGGACAGAGCACTCCCAAGGTCTATGAGCTGACCCTTCCTCTGGGAATCCAGATCACCTTCACCCCAGCACCTGGCCTGTCCACTCCTCAATGCTGCCCCATCCCATGGGAGGCAGGCCCAGGGCCGGGCCGGGTTGGTTAAGTCCAGTACTCACGATCACTGCTGTAGTCGTCCACCAGGATTATTTCTCGTATGAGATGGGGTGGACTTCGCTTAAGCACGCTGAGAAAAAATAGAAGAACAAAGGCTATAGGCCCTGGGAAAGAGGGCGTGGGGTGGCCCTGGGCCCAGTGCTGAGTGACCCAGTGACCTTGACAGCAGCCCCCACAGACCACATGGTGACCTCAACGGCAGCCCCCACAGACCACACAGGTCTGAGATACGTGGGGCACTCTGCTATCTGGCATCCCGGACAGGTGATGTCCCCCATGAGCTGTAACAGGCAGCATCTGGGGCCTCACCTAACCACCGTCCTCAGCAGGGCTGATCTGGCTTCATTATGAAATGTGATCACCACACTGGTGGCTGGCAGATCCACTCGCCACTGCTTCCGTTGGCACCTGGGAGAAAAGAAAGGCCATCCTATGAATGATGGGCACAGCTGGCCATGGCTCCTCCTCCCTCCAGGGACCAGGCTGCCAGGATGGACAGGCTGGAAGGTATCAGCCTGCTGAGACCGAGCTCCCAGGAACATACGGAAACAGCAAACACAACTAGAGTCATGCTTAAGAGATGAAAGATTTTGGCAAATAGTAACGAACTGAGAACATCTTCCAAACATGTAAAAAAAAATGCATGTTTTAAAACAGTGAGATTATTTCTACTTGCACACAGACATACCTCCAACAATGGCTCATCACACCCAAAGCAGAGACTGCTGGGAATGGCACTGGCTGTGCTTGCTGACCTTTTCTACTCTCTCCTTTGTGTGCAACAGGCACAAGTGCTGGTTGGACTGCCAACCTGGCTCCCACTGGTAAACAAGCTGACTGCTCTCCCTCATCCCAGGGGCAGAGCTTCCCCTCCCTGGCTCACCAGCCTTCTCCGAGAGCCTGCCATGGGCAGTGACCAGCGGGAAATGGGCAGGCATGCTCCCTTCACTGTGCGCTGCCTGTAGCACAAGTCCATGGCATGGCACTGGGCTGTTCACCCAGTATGGACAGACACACAGCTGGGAGAGCACTGGAAACTACTTTTAAAGTTAGGACTCTTACAGCTCTAGGTTGAAGATGTTAAAGTATCACTAGGCTCAAAGAACTGGCAAGACAAGAACCTTGTCAGCAGAACCTAGGGTGCCCTTCTGGGCAGGTCTGACTATTCAGAGATGACAGTACAGTGCAGTATCCCAGGGTCCTGAGAACCCAGGCCCTGGCTGACTTGGAGAGGACTATCTCAAAGCCCCAAGACTATGGTCCCCAGGAGGAGCAGGGTCCTGACAAGGACCAAAGGAAATTGTCAGCTGTGGCTGTGGGCAGCAAATTACTGCAGTACACTACTGACACCGGAGTGGGAAGGAGGTGAGCAGACTGAATGGTCCTGCACAAGGACAAGCAAGGTGCCAGAGCAGCCACCTGGAGTCTCCCAAGGAGGCTCGTCCTCCTCACCTGTCGATACCTTGTGGCCAAGGAGGCACACTGCCTTCCACAAGACCCATGCTGAGGAAGACCTGGTTGACTCTAGCACTTATTCTTTCTCACAGCCTGACTCGCCTGCTCCCAGGATTAAAGATAGCCTTTGCCTTGAGTGGGAATTCAGTGGGAAAAGATGATGGAAAACAAAAACCACCTTTGGTACACTGAGGAGGGGATCATGAGCAGCTGCTGGACAATGACCAACGCGGCCACTCAAGGAGTACAAGTACAGACACACTTCCCCTCAGACTGAGAAGATGCCTCGGAGAAACAGATTTCAAACATGAGCAAGAATAACAGTGCAATTATAAAGTAATTAGGTCGGAATCACAAAGGGGGCTTCTTTCACATAAAGATGTGAGTTATTGCAGCTAGCTTACTGCAATTAATTATGAGAAAACAGTACCAGTCACTGCTGTTTCAGGAGAAATGCATTCTGCAATTAATATCCAATCTCATTATAGCCAAGCCTTTTCTGACAAGAAGACAGATAAGCTGGCTTGTGGATTGTTCAATTAAGGCAAGCAAGAACCTGCAGGCCATCAACTATAAACAAATTACCAAATCATGTCACACTCCCTAGAACCCAATCTGAATGCTAAGGAAATTAGGCACCTTCACATGGGGAGGGGCATGAACTCTGCCATCAGGCCCCATTGAATGTAACAAGAAGAGCCCCAGGAGCAGACCTGGGCTAAGCAACTCCTCAGCAGAGCTCATACAGCCCAACAGCTCAACAGACACAGGGTTGCATCTTTCATCCTTAAATCACAGTACACTGAGCTGACTCAATGGAGCCTTCTCACCTTTCCCTCTTTTCCCCAGAAAGTCTGCCTTTCATGAGTATCTGGAAGTCTCACTGAGCTCTGGGAACATTTTCCAGAATTGGAAGATCTCCAGATTTCACCCCATTTTATTAAAATTCCTTTACATGATCTCAAACCATCGAGCTTTTCTAAGACTTGGTAATCACGAACATTAGAGGGTGCCGTTCTTAAGGCAGAGGTATAACAAGTAAAAGCTGAAGCGAAACATGTGTATTGGAGAGTATGTGGACATATGTAGTATGCTGACATCTGAGAGATTCAGATAAACTCTCATACTGCTCCAAGAAAGTAGGACGGGAGAACTTCAAGAACAAAGGAATCATTTTCATTTTACAGTTGTGTCACTGCCAAGCAGTTCTTGCTGCATTGGGCAGCCACGAGCCCAGGACAGCCACGAGCCCAGGACAGCAGTGAGCCCAGGACAGCTGTGAGCCCAGGACAGCCGTGAGCCCAGGACAGCAGTGAGCCCAGGACAGCCATGAGCCCAGGACAGCCGCGATCCCAGGATAGCCGTGAGCCCAGGACAGCAGTGAGCCCAGGACAGCCGTGAGCCCAGGACAGCAGTGAG